CTCAACATATTTTTCTATAATGCCATCTTTTCCCCCTAAAATGCAAACTCTACAGCTATACAATAAATTTTTTTATATTGGTGATAATCTAAGAAACAAGACTCTATGACCAACTGCCTTGGCAACCCTTAAGCATAATTCTGTCTCTCTTTCTCAATATCTATTTATCCATCCACCCATCCATCATGATAATGGCAATGGTGTACATAGCTCATTTATATACGTCCCAGGCAATGTTCCAGGAGCTCTACATATGCTAATTCATTTGGTTCCTATAACAACCTTGTGAGGCAGGTTAATTGCTATAAAACCCACCCTAAATTCTCAGCATATTAACATGATTAAAGTTACTTTTACTCAAGTAATGTCATAGTTCAGTGCAGATGTTTGGCAGGTAGCCTTCTACCTGCATGATTCAGGGGCCCAGGCTCCTTCCATCTGGTGGCACCACTGTCCCCTGGGCCTCAGAGTCATCTGAAGCACCCTCGGTCAGCAGCTGGGACAAGACAGAGCATGGAGGGTCACCGGGAAGACTTTATGGGCCAGGTCTGGAAGCGACACATCGCCTCCCCTCACATCCCACTGGCAGAGAAGGCGACCCCACGGCAGACCTCGCTGCAAGGCAGCCTGGGCCGGAAGAACAGTCTGGCTGCATGGCCGGGGTGGGTTGTAATGGGGACTTAGTCTGTGCCGAAGGCAGGGTGCTAGTATTCTCTTCCACACGTGAAAAATCTGAGGTAGAGAAGGTTAAGAAACATGCCCAAAGTCAAGTTGGCCATTAATGATGGAGCCAGGAGTCAAACCCAAGCTAAGCTATCAGATTCCAGAGAAGGGGCTCGTTACCATTGCCGTTATGTTGAAGATCCACCGAGGTCAGTGGAGGTAAAAACTGGCCATCCACTCAAATGAAGGAAAAAAGCAGGAGAGACTCCTAGTGCCTAGTGACTCCTGGTGACTCTCATTTTCTTGCTCACTCTTAATCTTCTATTCCCCTGAGTGTCCAGCCGGAGGGGGCTCAGCAAGGCCCGCCCTCCTCAGAGCTGCTTGGTAACTGGGAGCAGCCTCAGCACCTCCACTCACAAATGCCTGTCGCCAAGGCTTGCCCTCCTGCCGGGAAGCCAGCAGGGAAGGTGGGTGGGGCGATGGGGGAAAGGTTGCCGGGGAGGAGGGGAGAGGCTGGTGGCACGAAGGCTTTCACAGTCGTCCTGGACACAGTTGATTTCCGTCCAGGGGGCTATGCTCAGAAAGTCAAAGAAGGGGGCTTATTTAGGCTCTCTCAGGTGGCTGGGACAGCAGAAAGGGCCCTGAAGATTTTGCTTCTAGTCTCTTCTCTGCCACCCGCCAGTGGTGTGACTGAAATCACTGAATCATGCTCTGTGGGTAAAATGAGGAGTATAGATATTAAAAGATATACAAGGGGCCTTAGAACCCCACGCATCTGATTAAGACTACAGGTCCTCTTCACACAATGCACATACTCCCCTAATTTTGCAGGAGCTCACAGACTTCCTGAAGGGTATTCATGAACCACCCCTTAAGAACAGGTGGACTCCAGGTCCTTTTTAGCTCTACGCTCTTGCCTTCCAAAAGCAGGAAAGAAAGAATCCCTCCCCTTGACTCTGCTGCCTCCTATGGAAGGAGACCTTCCAGCCACCCTCGTGGGTCCAGTGTCAGCCTCCCGGTGGGGCTTGGCCCCTCCCCAGAACCCGGAGTCCTGGGAGCCCACAGTCACCTGGAGCCTCGCCCCCCGCTCAGCCGGCAGCCAGCCTTCCCTGCAGAGCCTCGCGAAAGGGTGAGTCAGGGCAGATCTGATTCCCAGGTAGCACTTATCTGACAAAGGAGATTTAAGGGGCCTTGCTTCTCTTTGTGCCATCTAATCTTTAAAAATCATTTGTCACTGTTAGCTGAGGGTGTCTGCATGCAGCGGCTGTCAGCGCTCCCCGGGGAGGAAGGAGAGCGCGCTGGCGGCCAGAGTCCCGCAGCTGTCCTGGGCACAGGAAGTCCACAGCGACTTGTCAGAGGTAAGGGGAACTATAAATACCGCAGAAAACGGGAGCTTCCAAGTTCAAAGGAAATCCGGATGTTGTCAAGGTCAGGCTGCAGAGGAAAGAGGGTCCAGAGGGAGCCTTCCTATTTCCTTCCGAACCTTCAGTCATCCCGGCGGGTCTCTGGGGGACAAGCCACAACTCCTCAGCGCTTCAAGTCCTCTGAGCTCAGCCCCATCTGCAGCCCAACCTGCTCCGCTCGGGGCAGCCCCCTTGGTGAAGCCAGGGCGCCCCCAGCTTGATGGCCCCCGCCCTCAAGCAGCTGCTCTTCCAGCCGAGATCCCCCTTGCCCCCTTTTCCACCTTCGCAACCCACTCCTTTCTTCAGGCCTGGCTCTTATGCCGTGTCTACCTAGAAACTTTTCTAGATCGTTACCCATATAAATAAACATACCTCCTTTTTGTCAAGTGTCTACCACACGGCAGTTGCTTCGCAAGCCTTGTCATACTCGATTTCCTCAATAAGCTTGCAAGACAAGTATTATCTCTATTTTAGAGATGAGGAAATTGGGTTTGATTAAATCTCCTGAGGTCATGTAGCTAGCAAATGACAGCACAGCAACTCTTGTCTAATTGACTTCAAAGCTACGGGCAATGCTGCTGCGCTCGTGTACCCATCCACCCGCCCAGCGCCCATCCACCGCCCGCCGTCCACTCTTCCCATCCTTTCAACTGGCCATCCACCCACCCACTTGTCCCCCTCCCCAAATACCAGCATGCAGCAAGACAACCTTCACCCCCTCCAGAGTCCTGGGGCACTCAGTGTTCGCAGCCCTCCCCTGCTGGCCCCCTGTGGTGCCTCTCGTTTCCTAGTCCTTTCCTTACTCCTTAAACGGAACTGGAGTCTCTAAGGACAGGGATTGGGTGTCCCTCACAAAGCCTAGCCCAGCACTTTGAGGACATTGGATGCTCACTGACAACTGGCTAAAGATTGAGCGCTGACCCCGCTTTTATGGGCAACCTTGTCCCCAGAGAACCAGGAGCCAAGAGGCAATGTCTTCAGGCAACCAGACCTGGAGGTGGCCATTCAAGGAAGGTCAGCAGGTGCAGGGCCTTTTGCCAGAGTCCTGAGACAGTGTCTCCTGGAAACCCTAGAAACCCTAATTTCAAACTCTTTCAAAACCTCTTGACAAGGACAGATGGCTGTCAAAACTCTGCGGTGAGCATAGAACTTTAGCCTTGAGATTGTAATCACAGGAAGTGTGGCATTCAGTTTCCTAGGCAACCATAATTCCTTTTCTTTCCATCTTGACGGTCCCTTTGTTACAATGGGACCTCTGATGACTGGAATCCAAACCCAAAATATTCTGCACCCAAAGCAGTGCTATGTAGCACACAGACAAGGAAGTGATAAATAAAAAAGCAGCAGTTGTCTGAAGTCAGACCTGTCCCTGTTTACACAGGGAGACCGGCAGGCAGTTGCAGTCACAGTCGCCGCTGCACTTAGTGGGCACTCCGGCCGCAGTTCCCGGCGCCCCTGCCCCTTCCGGTCCCGGTCACACTCCGTGCCTTGTTCTTACTGCTCTGTGCTACGATCATCTGTTTACCTGAAAGCTTCCCCCGCTAGACTGAGAACTTCTTGAGAGCAATAACTATGTCGTCATCATCATCATCGTGGTGACAGTTAGCATTCTTCAGTGCTAACTATGTGACAGATTTTTATCTGCTCTATGTACCTTATTGGACTCCATCCTGCCAAAGCAATTCTGAGCTCTTAGAGTTCTCAGGTGCCATTTTAGTCTCTGAAATCTCCTGCATAGTCCAGCAAGGTCTATCTTGTTGTAAAAGTTTTTAAAAAGGGAAAAGTAGGCGGCTTGGAAGAAATATTAGGCAATCTTGTTGTTCACCTTTAGTGAACTTGTCATCCTAGAGAAATAAACTTTTTGAACTGGACAGTAAAGATTGCTGATGCCATGTCACAGTGACATTAATTGCTAGAGGGGCCGGGACGTAAAGAGCAGACAGACCTGGACTTGAACCACATCTCACAGGCCATGTCGCCTTGGGCAAATGCCCTCAACACTTTAAGTCTCAGTTTTAAAACATGCTAAGTGGTTTTCTTGGTAGTGTTGGGAGAACCATCGAGGATGTGGGCACAATGTCTAGTAAGGCATGCTACGTGAAGTGGGTGTTAATAAATTATGGCTATTGTTACCATTATTTTCATGGCCAGCACTCACCCTTTAATATTAGGGAGTAATACAAGCTAGGGTTTAGCTTGAATTATGTCAAGACAGTTTTTACTTCCCTAAAGATAATTAGCCAATGTTCCCCAAGGCAGAGAACACTTTCTCCTCTCATAAACTCAGAAAGTGCTTTAGTATCAGAACATGAACTTGCCATCCAGGAGATACAAGGATACTCAAACATGTTGTGGTCTAGGGTTAAGATCTTATGTTTTCAAAACATTCGTGGGTCCCATTTTAGATCGGAGTGACCACAAAACTCCCGTTCTGGGCCAGGAGTTAGCGTAGCCGCACAGGGCCCTGGCTCCCTGGCAGCTGGAGGCGTGGGAGCCCTCCAGGGACTGGGAAGCAGAACACACAGACAGCCCTTGGCAATGTCTTGTGGACATGTCAAAAGACACTGCGAAATGACTTGGGAATGCCCGTGAGAAGGTTTCTGTTGTGTTCTGGGTTGCAACTGGGTGGTTTGCTGAGCTGTTCACTGGCCCGGCGTTTGCCCGTAGCCTGGAGAAGCAAAGTGCTGATGAGGTAGCCAGAGCCAAGGAGCTGAGTGAGATTGGGCTCCTGGGCTCCTGCCAAGTGCCTCAGGCGGGCGCAGGATGGCTGTGGGCTGGGAGCTGAGAGGCCCACACAGCGATCTTTAATCTCACTGCCCTCCCACTACTGGACCCATGAAACACGGAGCTCATAGCAAAGACCCAGTCTTCAAGGTCCTCTACTAGGGGACCCGCTTGGGGGGAGCCCAGGGGAATCCACTGGGATTCTTTGTGACTTGTGCTGTGATGCCGTCAGTCACCATAGCCTTGACCTCAGCCTGGGCAGAGAGGGGAGACAGGTTCTCTACCTACAGCTTACTGTGAGCGAGTTCATTCGAGTTACTTTCTATACTTAGTGAGGATGAAGGAGGTTTTACTGAGGGTGGAAAACTAGAGAGGCACTTTGAAGCCAAAGTCACTGGGTGGCCCACACTCTCAATAAGATTAGCACAGAAAGCATCCAGGAAGAAAGAGTGTGAACTCCACCAGACCTGGTTCCCAGGTGACCAGCGCAGAAACTGAAAGGGAGTTTCCTGGGGATGGCAGCCAAAGGCGTGCTCCAGGGACACTCCTGCCACAGTCCACTGAGCCGTACATCTTAGGGAAGTGTTAGCAGCACCCATTTGTCTAGATTCAAAATGAAAGAGCATTCCTTCTCAATTGGTTCACCCTGCCTCCATCCTCCTTTCTGATATCTCCCCCATCTAGCTATTATTTTGACATTGTATTGCCAATCTTTACACTTCAGTTAAAACAGCATACCCACTTTATTTCTCAGAGATGACAAGTTATTTTGCATAAAAGGTAAAAAATAGGATTGGCTACTATTTCTACCAAATAGCTTTCTTTAAGGAGTGCTTTTTAAAAAATCTCTGAATAAGACATTCCAAATTGTTCTGATCTTCCTGATCTATTCAAAACATTTTTTCAGTAGACCTTCAGTCTGAAACCAAATGGTTTCCCTCATGCATTTCAATAGATGTTTCTCTGATGCCTGGTAGAAAGTCATTGCCACTGGTCAGCATCTAGAATCAATCCCTCCTCATGCCTTTAATTAAATCTTCAAGTTGGAAACTACGTAGTGAGATTCTTTATTCAAAATACCAAGAGAAAACATGAGCAGGCTTCATTTCTTGTTGTAACAATGCCAGTTTTCCATAATCTGACCTTCACTTGACATCAGTGGACCAGAACCTTTCTTCAAAGCAGTGTATATATTTTTATAACCTAGATGCACAAGATGACGACAGAGGATTATCTTCGGTCATTAAAGATGTTGGAACATTCTTTATTACAGATGGAAAAAATAGCCCCGCGGTTAGTTATGATCTGTGTTTGAAACTGACTTGTCTTTTGTTGTCACAAGGTGTGGACTTCAACTGTAAGATTATAAGCATGTACATTCTTTAGGATCAATATTTAAAAGAAGATTAGATATATGACTCACATTCCGCAGTCATTTTGCAGTATAGTTGAGAGTCACATGTAACTGTAAAAAATTCGAATAGCTTCACAGACAAGAAAACTATCTGAATTTTCTTTCCTAAGCAAGCCATGTTTCTTTTTCAAAGAAAATTTACTGACACATTGCCTTAAGCCTTTAGGATATATAGTATACTGTATTTTCTTCTTCCGTGATCTTTCATTTTATGGGAAAAAAGTCAATGTTTTTAATACATACATCCTTTTCTTCTAGAATATGAATAAATGGTGGCAGTAAACCTCCAGCTTGTCTCCTTTCCCTGCTTTCTCAAGCCACCATTGAACTTCCTTAGGGTCCTGCTCTGCTCTCTCCAGAAAGCATCATTATATAATACACATCTTCACACCCTCTTGGCGTGCGTGTGGCATCAGTATTGCCATCTGAATCAAATTTGGGATAGGGGAGTCCATCCTGCTTTTGCAGGGTGATCACCACAGTACAGTATGATCCCATTAAAATATTTTTAATAGATATAATAGTAATAATTATACATGTGAGCAGAAAAGAAGCCACAAAGAAATGTACTAAAACATTAACAGTGATTCTCTGAGTAGTCAGATATGGGTGTTTTCTTTCATGTTTCTCTGTATTCTCTAAAATCTCAGCTATAAAGCCATATGTTTTATAAGCAAAAAGCAATGTACTATGTGATAGAGTAAACAATGTTCTGCTTTAAAAGAAAATGATTAAATCATTTTGATTAGTTTTGTTGGATTTACCTAATCCTGAATTACAAATAGCAAAAAAAGAAAAAAAAGAATCAAACCACATATGATCTGTTCTTCCTCTGTCTTAAAAAGAAAAAAAGGAAGCATAAGTACATGAAGTTTCACTTTTTAGGAAAGTTATTTTTTTATTTTTATTTTTTTTTGAGACAGAGTCTCACTCTGTTGCCCAGGCTAGAGTGAGTGCCGTGGCGTCAGCCTAGCTCACAGCAACCTCAATCTCCTGGGCTCAAGCAATCCTACTGCCTCAGCCGCCTGAGTAGCTGGGACTACAGGCATGCGCCACCATGCCCGGCTAATTTTTTTATATATATATTAGTTGGCCAATTAATTTCTTTCTATTTATAGTAGAGACGGGGGTCTCGCTCTTGCTCAGGCTGGTTTCGAACTCCTGACCTCGAGCAATCCGCCCACCTCGGCCTCCCAGAGAGCTAGGATTACAGGCGTGAGCCACGGTGCCCGGCCTTTTAGGAAAGTTTTAATCTAATCTTTGAAACTATTTGGATGAAAGTCAGCATGGGAAAACATTTCTGCTAAAAAAAATCCTCAGGACTCAAAGGCTGAACCAAACTCATTCAAACCTAGAACTATTTAAAAATGTTAATTAAAAATGTATTAACATCAGCATTCTGCACGTGTGTAGCCATTCCCTGTCTTGTAGATTTCTACCCTAGTGATAGTCAGTCCTGTTCTGTAAATTTCTTTTTAGATAGATTGGGGTAGGGAAGAGACAAACTATTATATGGCAGACACTCATGAGCTCCCTGTGGAAGAGACTTTACGTTCCCCATTTAGAGCTGAGGGAACTTAGGCACAAGGTCACATCACTAGGATGGATGTGGCAGAGCTAATACTCAGAACCAGCATTCCGACTTGAAAACCCCACGTTGTGATCCAATGTTCCCTTCCGTCTGGAGTACCCTGATGCGACCTGATTTAAAGGAGTTGAACAAATAATGATTTCATTAGAGCAGTGGTCGAGCTCGAGCTCGCACCAGAATCACCTGGAAAGCGTGTTAAGACACAGATTGCTGTATCCTACCACTAGAGATGCTGACTCTGTCTGGGACGGTGCCTGAGAATTATTTCTGACAGGTTCCCGGGTGACGTGGGTGCTGCTTCCCAGGGATCACACTGAGAACCAGAGGGTGAGAGCAAAGACCTTAACTCTAGGAGTGCTCCAAAGCAGAGAGTTCAAGGCCCACATCCTAGAGGCCTTAAGAGTGTATTTAATTTATTGGGTGTTGGGTGCGTAAGGCTGCCAGAGGGCCTGTGTGGCCTCACTGAAGCTTCCAGTCTCACACAATGGGCTGCTTCTCCACCGTGTCAGGAACTTCCCTCCAGAGCTGCCAGGCTTCCTCCCTGGTCCTCTACTGGTTAATTAGCTATCCCTCAGGTGAGGTTTCACTAGCCCAATTATGCACTTACAGGCCACAAAATTTCTTGTCTTGTTTCAGTCCTCAAAAGTCTACATTTAAATAGTAGCTCCTGAGGGAGGTGTTATTAGGCTGGGGGAAGTGAGGAGAGGGACTTAAGTCTACTTACATCTGTCATGGGAGACCAGAGGCCTGTTCCCAGAGGCTCAACAGGTTGCACTGTGGGTACCTGGCCACTTGCTAGCTGGAACAATGGTCTGGGGAAGTTGAGCCACCTCATCTGGGGAATGAAGCTTTTCCTCAGCTGTCCTTTGGGGAACAATGAGGATTAATTATTGTCTGATGGTATCAGTGGAGAGGAGAAATCTGCTCAGTCTCTGGGCTACATTAACTCTTTTAGGTCTCAGAGTTGCTTTTCCTGAATGGTTAGAAACTGGCAGGAAATTAGTCTCAAGAATATGGGAGGGGAAAAGTGTCATTCCAGAGGGTAAACAGGTTACGTTCTGATGGCCAGGTCTATCTGGCATGTGGTAAAATGCCTTACGTAGTGCTTAGAAAAAAATGTCAGTGAACAGGCCTCAAATAAAAAATGTGGGATGATCCCAATTTAGAAAGTGAGACTTAAAGAATCACCTACATGGCTGCCTTCACACTGGACATCCTAAGGAGTGTTTTTCCCTCCCCTTCCTGTTGTTCTCTCTTTTCTGCCAGGACTAGAGAAAGGGAATTCGTTTGCTCTGCTGTCGAGGTTAACCTTGGCCAGGGGAAGGCAGGAGAAGTGTTCCACCACCTCGGCAATGGCTGGTTACGGCTGTCAGAGATTCCCCAGCCTTGGCGCACGCAGGGGGAGCCCGGACCTAGACTTTGCTGCAGCCTCAAGCATCCCGCTCGGCCGCAGGGGGACTGGCGTCAAGACTCAGTCTACACTGAACCCAACACAGACTTGCATCACACTAGGTAAGTCCCGCACAACCTGCTGATGACAGTTGCCTGGGTCTTGCCAAGGAGGAAAATATGTAAGTTATAAGCTGGAGCGAGAACAGTACATGTTAAGTCCTGCCAAGCTACAGTCGTCTGACCAAGTCTTGCATGTCATGAATGGAGCTGGGATGAAAAACAAATCAAGTTCTGTCATGCTGCATCTCTTAGGTACTCCTCTCCAGGGCCCTTCTTATTCTCCTGGCTTAAGTTTCTCTGTGTTATGGCCTGAGACTTTGCAGTTTTGACTTAGTCCAAAACCCAAGTATGTACACAGGGGTCCAAGTGAGTGCCCCAGTACTGCTGGGAGGCCTGGATACAGGAACCCTGGGAAAAGTAAGAAAGTATAGGGAAAGAAAAGGTAGAGAGATGGTGAAGACGCAGGCAACAGAAAAAAGGTGTATGTTTGCAAGAGCTCTTGCCCCGGGGCTGAAAGCAGCAGGCTGACTCTGGCTGGCCCACTGCGGGTCGCCCAGCCCTGCACGGGTGTGAAGTAACCAGGAGGGCCATATGAGAGCCTGCAGCCCCCTCCCTCTTCTCCCAGAGTTCCTTATTTGGAGTTTGCAGGCCAGGACTGTGCCTTAATTACCGGTGTTATTGAAGGAGGCCCCAGGTAGCTTCATTCTGCTTCAGGAACTCCTTGGACCGCAGCATCTACCACCTGAGAACTTGGTAGAAATGCAGACTCTCAGGCCCCACCCTCAATCTACTGACTCCGCACCTGCAACCTGCGCCACCCCCACGTGATTCCTACGAATGTGAAGGACTAAGTACTGCCTGAAGCGCTGGTTCCCAAACTTGGCTGTGTTTTGGAATCAGCTGGGAAGTTTTAAAATATGCTGATATGCCTGGGCTCCATCGCCAGAGATTCTGGTCTGATTCAATTGGCAGGTGTGTGGCCTGGGTACAGGGATTTTTAAGTGATTCTAAGGGAGTTCAAAATGCTGTAAAGTTTGTGAAGCACTGCCCAAAGTACCTTCGGATTTCTCTCCTAGACCAGGGCTTCAGGTTTCAATGGGCATGAGAATCACCGCAGGCCCGGCAGCTGCAATTCCGCAGTTCTAATGCACTTCTAGGTGGCGCCGGTCCTTCGGGTCTATGCAGAGCAAGACTGCGGGGTGTATGAGAGTGACCATATAAAGGAAAGACAGGAAAATAAACACAGGAAACATCTACCTGGGGCCAAGTCCAGGAGAAAGACCTCAGGTTTCAGAGTTGAACGGACTTGGGTTCTAGTTCTCCCCTTATCCGCTGTGAAACCTTGCACAAATCAGATAATCTTCCTGATTATCAGTTTCCTTAATTTTAAAGCAGGGATAAGAAAGTGTAAGAGAGCTATGTGAAGACATAAGGTGACCTGTACCAAAGTTTCCTGTAGAACACCAAAACAAGGAAACAGAACAAATTCTAACAACTATAATCTAAGAAAATTTTCTTGAAATTACATATTGGAAGTGCACATAAACCTCAGAATGTGAACACAAAACAACCAACATCAAGGCATATTTTGGTTTATTATTTGGCTTAAAGAAGAAGAAAAAAATCCTTAGGAAATCTAGGCAAAAACAGCAAGTGATGTGTAAGGGAAAGAAAATTAGATTGTCATCTAATTTTAAGCCAGAAGAAAATAGAGTAACATATTTAAGATACTCAAGGAAAGAAAATGTGAGCCAATTATATATTTTTAAGAGATGGAGTCTCACTTTTGCCCAGGCTGGAGAGCAGGGCCTATTCATAGGTGCAATTATAGCTCACTACAAGCTCAAACTCCTGGGTTCAAGCAATCCTTCTGCCTTAGCCTCCCAAGTAGATGAGGTCTGTAGGGACACACCACAATGCCTGGCTAAGAACCAAGGATTTTATATCTAACCAAACTTACTTTCAAATAAAAAGGGCATATATAAGTTGTTATCAACATGAAGACTTTAGAGATTATTGTTTCTCTCAAGAGCCCTTCTTAAGGAATCTACTGGAAAATGAACTTCAGACAACCCAAATGACTAAGCATGACATTGACACAAGTACTGATGTGAGTATCCAACATAGTTACTTGTAGAACTAAGACTAAATGGTTAAATTGAAGAGGGTGTATTATGTTCTATTTGTTATGACAATTTAGTTATAGTATAACTACAAATAATGGTGCAAGAATGGGAAGAACTTATGACAAAGACATTTAAAAACTTGTGTTGGGGTGATAGTTTTATTGTCTTGAGACTATTGTATGTGAATTACTGGATAAAGAAAATGAAGGATTATAGCTATTTTATTTTATCACTATGAAGAAATATATGTATGTATATATTATATATAGAAGAGAGCTTAAGTAAAAGCACTAAGTAAAAATACAAAGTCTGTATTTCAATGCAAAATTATCTCTGAACACCTGAAAAGGCCTAGTAACAACCTCATAGTAATAAGTTGAGACCTTGAAATGCTATTTTTCATGAAAAGATACCAGGACTTCTTGGAGAGCTGGCTGATTTGAGATTTGAGGTAGAAAATGTACAAGATGAACTTGGAATATCTTGTCATACCAGACAGCAAGCAATATTTCAATGATAACTGGAGTCATATCAAAAGAACTCCAATAGCCTCCATGAAGGGGTTGTCACTAACCAAAGATAGGGTAACATGAGCTTTAATTAGGATAAAAACTGTATTAGATTGAATGAGTTCACAATGATATTAGAATTGGCCACTCTAGAAAAATAAGGAATCAACTCATTGCCTTGATAACTAATAAATAAAGGGAAAGAATCAAGGATATCCTGGCTTTCCTATAAGTACTTGTCTTAGTCTATGTTGTGCTGCTATACCAGAATACCTGCAATTGGGTAACTTACAAAGAATAGAAATGTATTGGCTCACAGTTCTGAAGGCTGGGAAGTCCAATATCAAGGTCATGGCATGTGGAGAGAGCCTTCTTCCAGCATCACCCCATGGTGGAAGGGCAAAGAGACCCTGCTCCTGAGAGAACCCCTTTATTAAGGCATTAAACCCACACATGAGGGTGGAGCCCTCATAGCCTGTTCACCTTATAAAGGCCCCCCCCCAATACTGTTACACTGGCAATTAAATTTCAACCTGACTTTTGGAGGAGATAAGAGTTCAAACCATAGCAGTACTATACCAAATTATCCAAATGTAATTACCAATTTACCATATTAACACACTAAAAGAGAAAAACTATATGATTATCTCAACAGATACAGATAAGGCATTTTTGCAAAATTCAACATCAATTCATAATAAAAACTCTCAGCAAACTTGGAATAGAAGGGACCTTTCTCAACCTGACAGAAAGTATCTATGAAAGACCTTCTGTTCACACCACACTTAATGGAAAAAGAATGAATTTTTTCCTCCTTAGATTAGGAACTTGTGGGTATCATCACCCTCACAACTTCTACTCAACATTTTATTGGAAGTTTTAGCAATGCAAAAAGACAAGAAAAATAAAAGATATTGATGTTGGAAAGGAAGAAATAAAATTATCTTTATCACAGACAATATTATCATTTATGTAGGAAATATTAGGGAATCTACAGAAAAGCTACTATTAATAGAATGAATAAACGAGTCTAGCAGTGTTTTAGGATATAAGATCAATATACAAAATCAATTATATTTCTATATATTAGCAAAAATCAGAAATTGAAATTGAACAATAGCATTTATAATAGCATCAAAAATAGGAAACTTAGCGAAAACTCTGACAAAGAACATGCAAGACTGGTATGCTGACAACAAATGCATAGATATACTGTGACAAGATTACTGGGTGAAACTGAAAAAGACTTATATAGAGAAATATATCATGATTCATGGATTGGGAGATTCAAAATTGTTCAGATGTCAATTCTACCCAAGTTGACCTACGGATTCAATGATATCCCAATCAAAATGCCAGAAGAATTTTTTATAGAAATTGACAAACTGGTTCTATAATTCATAAGTGTAGAGAGCTGAGCCAAGAGAGTGCTACCTGCCAGGTGTCAGAATAGCTGATCAAGGCAACAGGTGAAAATAGAAGTAATAGTCAAGCCTTTAACCACTTACTGTATCATGATAGTATATAAGCAAGAGACAAAACTGGAGAAAGCACCACCTCCCCTTCCACTTTTTCCCCCATGAAACAGCTCTGATTGAGGGTCAGGTGAGTCACCATAGATGTAGGGAATTGCCTCAATGCCTTTAATTTGTCCCTTGCAAACAAAAAGACCTGGGGAGTAGGAGTAGGAGGAGATAGAAGGGAAAGGGATAGGAATGGAAAAGTACTGGGTAGTTAGCATAGAGAAAAATGTCTTCAAGTCCTGTCCCCTGCCCCATCCAGATAAGGAGGTCTTGGCAGAGACATCTGAGGAAGGCCTCTGTGGAAGGCCCCTAATAAAGAGGCCTCCAAGTGGAGGCACCTGGGCTAAGGATGGAGCCATGCATAGGAGCATGTCCAGCTGGGGTGGGAGGGCCTGAGTCCACGACTAGCACTCCCTTCAGAGACGGCAATGCACTGACCGTGCACCAAGTCTGCTGTAGGGAAGGCAGCCTCCTCCCTTGAGACCTGCTAGGTAAAGCCTTTGTAATTTTGTATAGCATGGCCTGAAAGATCACACGTAGGTTTTGGGGCAGGAGCCAGACTCAGTAAGGAGACCCAGAGCATCCAGAATAACCAAAACAACTCACACACACATAAACACACACACAGGGGACTGAAACTACATGATGTCAAATTCATAGGCATGAAGTTGTTCATAATGTTTCCAGTAGTTGCATCATCTCTCTCATTTCTGATATTGGTAATTTTTCTCTTTTCTCTTTTTCCCTGATCAGTCTGGATAGAGATTTATCAATTGCCCTTATCAAAGAGCCAGATTTTTGTTTTATTGGCTTTCTGTAGTGTTTTTACTTTCTATTTCATTGATTTCTGCTCTGATCTTTATTATTTCCTTTCTTTTATTTACTTTGGTTTAATTTTCTCTTGCTTTTAAAATAGTTTTTTAAAAAAATTGTGGTAAGAACACTTAACAGGAGATCTACCCTCTGCACAAAATGTTAAGCGTATAGTATAGTATTGTTAATTATAAGCACAATGTTGTCAGCAGAGTTCTAGAACTTATTTATCTTGCATACCTGAAACTTTATACTCATTGAATAGCACCTATTCATTTTACCCTCTGCAAGTCTCTGGTAACTGCTCTGCTGCTTCTGAGTTGGACTATTTTAGATATCTTATATAAATGGAATCATGTACTATTTGTCTTTCTGTGACTGGCTTATTTCACTTAGCATAATGTCATCAAGGTTCACTCATGTTGTCACATATGGCAGGATTTCTTCCTTTTCAAGGCTGAATAGTATTCCATTGTATGTATATACCACCTTTTCTTTTTTATGGGTACATAATAGTTGTCCATCTTTACAGGGTACATGTGATGTTTTGATACGGGCATACAATGTGAATTAATCAAATCAGAGTAATTGGGGAATCCATCACTTCACGCATTTATCATTTCTTTGTGCACGGAACATTCCAATTCCACTCTTTTAGTTATTTTAAAGTTTACTCTAACTTATTGTTGACTATAGTCACTTTTTTGTGCTATCAAATATTGTTCATTCTAACTAACTATACTTTTGCAGCCATTAACCATCTCCACTTTATCCCCACTTTCCCATTACCCTTTCCAGTTAATGTGGCCATCACCCAAATAGAGTTCTTTGTACCCATTAGGTACAATGGTCCCCCCACCGCCTGCTTGATTTCCACTGAATTTTACTTCTCTCTGTGTATATGTGCTTATCAGTTAGTTCCAATTTAATAGTGAGTACATGTGGTGTTTGTTTTTCCATCCTTGGGATACTTCACTGGGGAGAATGGTCTCCAGTTCCATTCAGATTGTTGCAATAGGTATTAATTCATTTTTTATGGCTGACTAGTACTCCATGGTATGCATATACCACATTTTGTTAATCCACACATGAATTGATAGTCACTTAGGTTGATTACACATTTTTGCAATTGTATCACTAGGTTTTTTTTTGTTTGTTTGGAGACATGGTCTCGCTCTGTTACTCAGGCCAGAGTGCCATGGCATTAGCCTAGCTCACTGCAAACTCAAACTCCTGGGTTCAACCGATCCTCCTGCCTCAGCCTCCTAAGTAGGTGGGACTATAGGCACTATAGTGCACCAGTCCATTTTTTCTACTTTTAGTTGAGATAGGATCTGGCTCTTGCTCAGGCTGGTCTTGAACTCCTGAGCTCAAATGATCCTCCCGCCTCGGCCTCCCAGAGTGCTAAGATTATAGGTGTGATGCGGCGTGCCTGGCCTTGTATCACTAGTTTTAACCAAATTTATTATCATGTGTCTTCTTTGCCTTTATTTTTTCAGATATCCTCCCCTCCTTCCTTTGGAGATTTCAATTATATTATGTTGTTTAATATTGACATACAGCTCATTGATTATCTTTCCTTTTTTTTCCCAGTTTTTTTTCTCTCTGTGTTTCAGTTTGGATAGCTTCTATTGCAATGTCTTTATGATTCACTAACTTTTTCTTCTGAAATGTCCCATCTTCTGTATATTAGACACTTTTTTTCTTTAGAAGATTGTGTAGGAACTTTTAAAACATCTTCCATGTCTTTACTTAACATGGTCAATTTTTCTCTAGCTTCTTGAACATATAGGACACAGTTATAAAAACTTTTAACATCCTTGTTTA